TATCCGAAATGTGGATATCGTTTACGAAGACGAAGCCAACATGTGGTACGAAGTAGTGATGCAAAAATATGTAAAATTTTACCAACTCTCAGTCTTCGGTACAAGCAGGTGGGATGAATGGCGCAATAAACAGGTGAAGTAATAAAACATCTTTCTCGCATTATTTTCTCATATTCGGCTGCCTTATAGTCACATTTTATAGGCAAATTTTCAAATAAGGTAGTGTCAAAATCTTTCTTCTCACTCTAATATTACTTCACCTGGTATAATTCCACCATAGGTGGGGTGCATGGTGAAATAATAACAAGGTGTTGTCAGTAGCGACGTGTTTGTTGTAATTTTGACAAGATCGGCATGCTTATTTTCAGTGCTGCCGATCTTAATTTTTTATAATGCTATAAGTTGGGAAATTGTATTTAAAATACTCCATTTTAGTATTTCATTTTATCGTGATTTTTAAAGAACTTGGTGTTTTCAGAACGATATTAATATTTAAAATTGCTGGATTTGTATAATTTTTGTCCTCAAAATATAAAATATAAAAGATATCGTAGTTATCAATGGAAAAAGACGTACACAAAAATCGTATGGAAAGGCGATTTTTTTATATTAAATATCTTTTGCTGCATTGCCATAATATCGAGCCAAAAGGACTTCTGAGACACTAGAATAGAGCGGCAGCATGGTTAAATTACGACTTCGCTTATATTATCGAAATTTATGTGTTTTAATCTATATGTCAGCCGCTGTGGCGTAGTGGTAAGCAGTGCGCACTCCACTCCGCAGCAGCTGGGTTCAAGCCCTGGTCAAAGCAACATAGCAAAAAATATAGAAAAAAGGTTTTTTCTTAACAGCGGTCGTCCCTCGGCAGGCAATGGCAAACATCCGCGTGTATTACTGCCATGAAAAACAGCTTCTCTTAAAAATGCAATCGCCGTTCGGAGTCGGCGTAAAACTGTAGGTCCCTCCGCTTTGTGTGACAACATCAAGGCGCACGCCGCAAGTCGGAGGAGAAGCTCGGCCAAATGTGTAAGCGCCAATCTATCTATTATTATTATTACTAATCTATTTAAAAAATCATTTACAGTTTTATAGGAAATTGCCTTATTTTACGGCCTGTACTTTTATAAAAGTTACAATATATGTGCAAGCTGTGTGGAGCTTACGATACAAACATATATTCAGGCTTATAAGCCTGTAATTAAACATTTTTCTACATTTAATTTGAAATAGTATGCACGAACGGATTAAAAGTGGTAAATAATTAGTACTTTTTCTACTACTTTAAAATGCGTGACCGGAATAGACCTGCCGAAAAAGTGAGGTTAAGTTACTGACAACACCTTGTTATTATTACACCATGGGTGGGGTGCATGCAATAACACCATACGCAATAATTTCCATTACTTAAAAAGCAGTTTCAGAAGTAAACTAGTGTCATTATTATTCTTTTTTCTAAACGGTTATTAATGCCAACAGTGCATAATTGCAAAAGTAGAGGAGGGGGCGGAGGACGCGAACGCTACGTCGAAAGCGGAAATATGTATACTTACAAATCCGTCCGTTTAACTTGTTTATGTACTACTTTTGGTCAAATGTAACTGGGTGACTACCTACATATGTGCACTATTTTGCTTTATTACTCAAATTGTTAAGTTTAAAAGTTGGTCTTATTGCTCAACGAGAAATAAAATAAAGCAAATTTGTGTTATTTCACATTCAATTGGGAAATAACACAAATTTGCGTTATTGTTGTTTGTGTTATTTCGGATATTGGAAATTTATCCCCAATTAAAGGGTGAACACACCAAAACTGCGACACTTTGGGAAGCTTATAACTTACCCAAAATGAATTCAATATTTTGAATACCATAAGCTGACCACATGACCTTAGTTGGACGTAGAAGAAATTTCATTTGAATTTGATTCCTATTGAGTTAAAAGTGACAACCGAGTTAGAAACGAGACAAACCATTTTGCACGAGTTTATAAATGATCCGGCCTTAAGTAGACGTAAAATTGATAAAAATTAAAGATTGCACTATTCGACAATTTGCAGGGATTTAATCGGTACAAATAAGGCCGGGCAGTTACGAGAAAACCAGGGAGCGGGGGTTAGCATGGTCAAAGTGATAGAAAACAGTGCTCGGAAAGTCCTCAGAGCGTTTTCGCGAAATCCGAAGATTTTGTCGCGTTATGTTGCAAAATCCAACCAATAGCCCAGAGCTACGTCCTATTGGGGAATTTGGGTCAATTGTCAAAGGAATCTTGAAGAAAACAGGTGAAACAATGAAAAATATTGAAGAGTACCAAACAAAGTAGTTGTGCGCATCGCGTATAGTCGATGATGCAGTCGTGCAGAGCATGATGGTGCGTGTGCGATGAAAATACCGATCACTTGCATATGGGGCAAATAATAACTAATATTTTAACATTTTAATAACATCTAAACTTCCAAGTTATATAATATAAAAAAAAAATAATTTCAAAGCATTCTAGTTTGTTTCTGGTAGTAATTTCTAAGTGTCTCAGTTTTGGTGTGTTCACCCTTTATATAAAAAGGATAAAAATAAAAACAACACAAATAGCCAAAATATTCTAAGCAAAAAGAAAATAAAAAGAGCGGCACTTTGCTAAGCAAAGAGCCTCATTTGGCTCACAGATCCGCGATTGCCCACCGTTGACATAGAACATCCAAAGTTATTAAGTCAACCCAATAACTCCAAATTGGTAAATTTACACATTCATGCTTCTGGCATAATTTTTTATAAGCATGTTCTACATATTTTTGTAGTAAGAAAATGGTAGTCAAATTTTGTGTTAATATTCTGCCGTTTGTGTGAAAACAAGTCAATAAAATGTAAGTTTGGTATGTACTCCACCCTACTTACTAAACTAAATTTATATTTTCGAGGGATTATTTTTATGACAGTTCGTCCAAAAATCATAATTTTTCTAGATTTTTCTCAATTCCTCTAAAACTTTATATTTTGTGCATTTGGTCTATTCACATATTTCTAGGAGTGAGACCGAGAATTTAGACACCTTGAAATAAGAGCCACCCTTATGTATTATATATTTATGTATGTATGTATGTACATACTTCCACATTTTAATTGCACTTGCTTTTGTGGTTTTACCGCTTAGCTTTATGTTTGCGATGGTGTGTTATCAGCATGAATGAAGTAAGATTACATCTTTATAATTAATATCACCTATTTTTATACCTTTCATGAGCATGAAATGGTATTATAACTTTGGTCCGATGTTTGTAAGTACCAGAACAAAAAGAGATAGACCCATTAAAATGTATACTTATATGATCAGAACGTCGAGCTGAGTTGATTTATCCATGTCCGTCTGTCCGTCTGTCCGTCTGTTTGTATGCAATCTAGTCTCTCAGTTTTCGAGATATCCGGATCAAATTTGGTAGGTGGGTGTATTTTTATAATGTATTAATCATTTGTCGGAACCGGAAGAATCGGACCACTATAACATATAGCTCCCATACAACTGATTGTTCAGATATGAGATTTTTCGTTATAACTTCTCCATTTATGCAGCTACGAACATGAAATTTTGCAGCACTTACACCCATTATCAACAGAATGCTTACAGTGAAAATTACAAAGATCGGGTCACTATAACCTATAGCTCCCATACAACCGATTGTTCAGATATACAATTTTTCGTTATAACTCCTCCATTTATATAGCTGGGAACAGGAAATTCCGCACTGTTTTCAATAATTATCAACAGAAAACTTACAGTGAAAATTAAAAAGATCGGATAACTATAACCTATAGCTCCCATACAACTGATTGTTCAGATATGAGATTTTTCGTTATAATTCATCCATTTATGTAGCTAGGAACATGCCATTTCGCGCTGTTTTCACTTATTATCAGCAGAAGACTTACAGTGAAAATAACGAAGATCGGGTCACTATAACCTGCAGCCCCCATACAACTGATTGTTCAGATATGTGGTCTTTTATCATATCTCCTCCATTTATGCAGCTAGGAACATGAAATTTCGCACCATTTTCTCTCATTATTAACAGAATACTTACAGTGAAAATAACAAGGATCGGGTGACTATAACATATATCTTCCATACATCTAATTGTTCAGATATGGGATTTTACTGTAAAACTCCTTTATTTGAACAGCTAAAACCGATAAATTTCGTAAGATATTTTATAAATAATAATACAAAGTCTACTGAGAAAATCGTCAAAATCTATGCTGTATAAGCTTTATCTCCTATAGCACTGATTGTTCAGATACCAGTTTTTGCGATATATCTCTTTTATGTAGGAAACTAAACCCAATAAATTGTGTTACCGGTTTACATACCGATCACATAGCAGTGAAAATCACTTAGATTGGTGCCATATAAAGTATATCTTCCATACCTCTGATTGTTTAGATGCGATTTTTTATATAAGTATGTAACTCCTCTATCGATGTATGCAGATGTATTCAAAATCAGTAATCTGTCAAACTAAAATTTGCAGATGTTCATGAAAGGTATGAAGCCTTCGGCATAGCCGAAGACAGCGCTGCTCTTACTTGTTTTCTGTAATATGCTACTGTAACATTTTTCTCATTCAAAACTGGATTTGTTTAGTACAATGATCTACGCTGATTATGATTGGCCATTGTCTGTGTTTTAAATATTTTCGATAGCTAATCATTAATTTGTGCATAAATGAGTTCTTCTGTAACCCAATTAAATATTTGTGTGTTTCTTCAAAATAGTAGACCTTCTCATGGCTCGAAGAGCACTGATATTTGTAAGTGAGCTTACCTGAATGTCATTTCAAGGTTTGTGAAATAACCTTTTTAGCACTGAAGTCTCAAGTATATGATGATATGTAGAACTGTGCATACATACATACATATGTATGTACAAAAGTATTTAAAGTAATTGTTATCGTCTTAATTCTTTATCGTGTATTCTCTATTTATTAATATATTTTTCTATTCCTCAAATAGGCGTTTGAAGGTTCAAGACCGCAGTATCATACAAACTCAGATAACTAAAGCTCAACGAAAGGAACAGCAGTTCCTAAAATGTCTGACGGCAGTGTGCTGCACATAAAACAGGAGTTGGACATAAGCACCTCATGCTGCAGTCCGACCACCTCCACCACATTCGGTGTAAATCGGTCGAATTCGTATTCGAATGGAACCAGCGGTAGTACAAGCAGCACCAGCAGTGGTAGCGTCGTAAGTGGAGGTGGCACAGGTGCGAACACTTCCACCAGTGGCAATAAATCATCACCTTCTGTGTCACCAGAGCGACAGCTGTGTAGCTCAACGACTACGCTAACGCCTGATTTGCAGAGGGTCGCCTTTACTAGCTGCGAAACAAGTACTTCAACTCCCTTAAAAGGCAGCGAATGTAATGGCAGCAACAGCAATTCTCTAGCTAACAGCAGTAACACCATTAGTGGCGGTGGAGCTACAACTGGCGGCTCAATACGCGACGAATTGCGTCGTCTTTGCTTGGTATGCGGTGATGTTGCATCAGGATTCCATTATGGAGTCGCTAGTTGTGAGGCCTGCAAGGCGTTTTTTAAACGCACCATACAAGGAAACATAGAGTACACATGTCCCGCTAACAATGAATGTGAGATTAATAAGCGTAGACGCAAGGCATGTCAAGCGTGTCGTTTCCAAAAATGTTTACTTATGGGCATGTTGAAGGTAAGTAAAATTACGTATGTACATACGTACATACATATTTAGTTGAATACACACATATGTAAAGAAATTAACGATACACCTAAATTTTTATATGAGAATTGAAGTCGCTTGTGTTTTTGCGTAAAATTCACTTGTTAACTTTAAAATTCGAAAAAACAGTATCCATTATCTGTGTTACAGCTCCCCCACTTAGGAAGTCAACGGTGTTTTTCTTATTGACAAACCGTTAAAAGTAAAAGTCTGAATACTAAAAACTTGCAACTTCCCTCAAAACAAGGTGTCATTTTGCTCTTTCAATTTCCCTTGTAACAAAAACTTTCGTTTAAGTTTCCTTAAATACTGGATTGAAAACTTTTAGAAAACACCATTGAATATACCAGTTTTTAAAAGTGTTAAGATCTCTCAAGAGTTCATTCCTCTATCCTAAATGATTTTTTTTTTTTGGAAATAAGAGTTCCAGCTAAACATTTTATAACGTAAAAGCGATTTTTAGATGTAGGTACATATTTTGGAGGGGAGAATTGATACAAAATATGTAGGTGGGAGACACAAAATAGACCAAATTTTATAGTTTGCTGGGGAAAGCGGAAACGTTTTATATGAGGCATTCTTATGCACAAACATATAGGAACATATGTATATGTAGTAGTTAATAACATACATGTTTTCAATTTCATTCTTCAGGAAGGTGTGCGACTGGATCGCGTGCGTGGTGGTCGACAGAAGTATCGACGTAATCCCATATCAAACTCTTACCAAACAATGCAGCTCCTTTACCAATCCAATAGTACCTCATTAGAAGATATCAAAATACTAGAGATTCTAAACGCATACGAGCCGGACGCACTTACGGTACAACAGCAACTAGAACAGCCGCACACAACTACCGATGGCAGCAGCCATGCAAGCATCACAAAAGTCACGCAGAGTAGTAAAATTAAGCTGGAGCAAAATAATTGCAATAGTGGTGGCAGCAATAGTAGCCACAGCGAGATAATATCTTCCAGCATGACAACATCCACCCTACAGCCGACATGCATATTTCAAAACAACAATTGCGACGCAGACGAAATTCTCTCCGTGCTCAGTGATCTATATGATAAGGAACTGGTAAGCGTAATTGGCTGGGCTAAGCAGTTGCCCGGCTTCACTGAGTTGCCCCTCAACGACCAAATGAAGCTTTTGCAAGTATCCTGGGCGGAAATACTAACATTGCAGCTTAGTTTCCGTTCCGTGCCATTTAATGGTCGCCTATGTTTCGCCACCGATGTATGGATGGACGAATCGCTAGCTAAGGAGTGTGGCTACACTGAATTTTACTATCACTGTGTGCAAATTGCTCAGCGTTTGGAACGTTTGTCACCGCGACGGGAAGAATATTATCTTCTGAAAGCATTGATTTTATCAAATTGTGATATTTTGCTAGATGACCAAAGTTCATTGCGAGCATTTCGTGACACGATCCTTAATTCACTAAACGATGTTGTGTGCTTATTGCGTTACGGATCCGCTGTCTCACATCAGCAACAATTACTCTTGCTGCTGCCTGCGTTACGACAGGCTGACGGTATATTACGTCGCTTCTGGCGAGACATATGCCATGGGGGTAAAATAACAGTAAAAAAATTATTTGTAGAGATGCTTGAACCGGTGTCCAGGTGAGAACGCATTTGTGCGAGTCGCAAGACGTGAAAGTTCCTGTAAATAAGTACACATAATTCTCATGCGCAATTGGAAAGCAATGTGGTGTGATCAAAGCACAAATAAGTAAAAACAGAAACTCAATATATGTATGTATGTAGCTATAGCGAAAAAAAATATACATAGTTCAATTATTTTAATATCTGCAACGGTGGCGGTGATTGTGGAATAAAGGACATTTGGGGCTTGCAATGGTTTTAAGTATTTTAATGGGCCGTATAAATAAAAACTGAGCAATTGCTTTTTTAATTTCAGATCTTTTTCTCGATTTATTTAAAAAATTTATGTTAAAGGTCTGGAATTTTAAGAAAAAGAGATTGCTTAGTTTTGTACATACGGCACAATATGTACATACATATCTGTGTTCGTATGGAAAAGTAGCTTATGTCAAAAGGCCGGCTTTAGTATAATGCGGCATTCCCTTTATTTTTTAAACGACAAGGAATTTTTTGATGAGACTTAAAAAGAATATTGACTTGCTAGTATCGGAACTATTTCTTGTACGTTTATTTGCTAAAAGTTGTTTAACGGCTTAGCGCCCGTAAGTCATTCGCAATCGTATGCTGCGAATGCCGATTTATACTAAAGCCAGCCTTTCGACATAAGCTACTTTTCCATACGAACACAGATATGTATATCGAATTTGATACTAACTATAAACTTTGTTTACGAATTCGGATTTGAAATAGTACATGAAATATTAAATTAAATTACAGTAATGTAATGAACTCAAAAATTTCGAATTTTTTTTTTAATTGCCGTTCTCATTTGAAATTGAATTCCAAAACTTGCGAACAGTAACGTTCTAATTCAAAGAAATACAATCAATGGAAATTTGTTATTATAAAAATGTTTGTTACATTTAAGATCTAATGAAACTATTCAATATCAGGCAGCATACTACTTAGTACAATTGTGTTTAAGTAAAGAAAAATTAGTGATTAGTATAAGTACTAGCATACATTGCATAAACGAATATGTGTAATAGTTAAACACTTTAAGTGAACTTTTTTTGTTATAATATATTAGAAATTTGTTTGAAAAAATAGAGAATATGCCACTGTTTCATTTTAAATTTTTTATGCTTGTTATTATGTAGTATTGCTATATGAAATTCAACACAAGTGAAATGCATTTCTTCATGGATATACAAATAATCTTACTTTGATTTATGTATAACGAAATCATGCTATCGCATTTTCTAAAATTTGTACAATTGCACACACTTTTCAAAAGAGGCACAACTCAAAAATCAAGTACAGAAATATAACTGCTTGTGTATCGTACGGATTCAAGGAAATCAATACAAAAACAGTTATGGCAGTAGTTTTCTAGTTTGAGAAAATCATAAAGAAAAAATGATATGCATTAATTGGAGATAAATTCTACGAATTAATTTATGCAAAAAAATTTATACATTTTTTTTCGAGTTATGTTTCTTTCGAAGAAGGTATGCGATATATATGCATGCATATGGGATAAAATGCCATACCTGCATTAGAATTTGTTGATGTTGTCCTTCAAGTGTCATTAGTGATCTTCAAACTGTCCAACTTACGCATTACGACTCGGAATTAAAATTCAACAACATTGCCCACAACTTGTGGGTATATATATCCATCGTGATATTTTTGTTAAGATTGCTTTTAAACGAATTTTTAACGCAAATAAAATATGAATTTTATTCAAAACTAATTCAGGATAATTTTTTTTTTGGGAATCTATGATTTAGTATGTTTCGACGACACACGCGAAATTTTAACCAAATCGGACCACCAATCCGTTTTTTATTTCGATCCTGGCGCCGCCTAGCGAGAAAATTTTTCGCAAAAATGTTTCTGCCTACGTAAGCAGTATATATTGTAGAAAGCTGACAAATTGGCCCATAAATACGTAAGTTGCTAAGTCTTAATTTAAAAAATTTTACTGGGGAGGAAAAAACTTCTCATAGCCATTTTTTTCCAGTATACGAATCAGAGGGACTCGATCTTTATTAAAAGATTTCGTACGATTTTGGCCTTATCGAATTTTCGGAACTTATTTTGGACTTAATAAATTTTCCTTTCATTGAAAAAAAGCGAGAAAAAATACAACAAACACATTTATCCTTTACTAAATAACTAGCTAAGAGCATCTGCCAGACATCGAAAATAATCACTATTTAGTGATTTAAATTTTTTCGACATAATTTGAATGTTATGAATGACCGCTTTGATCATTAAAAAATCTGATCCTATAGTTTCGAGCGTGTTGATTGATTCGAGAAAATTATATTGGCCTCAAAAGAGAAGACCTAATTTTCTTACATATTATTCCAATGGGAAAAATAAACGCTCCATGCGGGACCTTTTATAATTATCGTAGAGAAGGGAGATTCTTGGAGGAGCATTACTATATCAAATACTAAAATTTGAGTCGGCTTCCGGTCGCAGGATTTTCTTTTACGTGGTCTAATATACTTATAAAATGAAATACGTATGTATGTATGTACAATGTGTGCACATTTTAGAGGGTGCCCCGATGAAAAATCCAAAATGGATTTTTTTGTACCATAAAGCGGCTCCGCTGGATTGGCTATGTAGTCGAATGGACTCCACCGCTCCAGCTCCAAAAGTATTAAACTTGGTACCTGCTACAGAAGAAGAGGGAGGCCCCCATTGCGATGGAAAAACCAGGTAGAGAAGGACTTGGCTTCACTTGGCATTTCCAATTGGCTTCAGCTGGCATAGAAAAAACGACTGCCCAAAATCGCTTAGGCCCTTACAGCGCCAAATAAGAAGAGAGGGAGAATGTCATACACAGTGCAAGGTTTAAAAGACTAGGTCTAAAGAATGATACAGCTAGAAGTATTCAATAAGTATTTAGTCTTGGGGCCATTTTCGCCATGTCTGGTTAACACTAATCCCCAGTTAAGCATCGTTATCGTCGTATACCGACTCCGTGCATATAACATTGAGTCGATAACGGCGCTCCTAAATTTGGCCTTTTTATAGACTTCCAATAAAGATTTTCTCTCGGACTGCTCGCAGTTTGGATCATTTTATTAAACATGAACATACTTGAATGCAGTTATAATGGTTTATCCTCAACTTTTTATGCATATTTCATATAATTGGGTTATGCACAAGTACGGCTTAATTGCTACCTGAATTGATGAAATCCTAAATCACTGGAAAATGTCGGCAGTGTAGGCACAAGATATTACTTTTATCCTAAATTTAACTGCCCAAAACTTATTGCTAGAAATTGCTCAAATTTTCGGGACAGCCACTTATATGTAGATACATTTGTAGTAAATTATCAATATGTATTTAATTCATTTAATAGTAGTATTTAAATTTGTAGAATTCGATCAACTTGCAAACAGCCCTAAAAAGCACGTTTTTGAAAGAATATCCCCAAATGAGAAATGCAAGTTTATGAAAGCACACGCTGGATAGCACAACAAATCAAAATACCTCTAACGGTATACCTTATGAAATACCTCCTTTATAAAACTCATTTACAAAAACAACAGAATATCTGCTGATAAAACATATGTACACATTTTATACATGCATACACATGTCAGCATACATACCTACCTACCTACCCATGCATACATATGTATATATACAAGTAACCGGTGCATTAGAATCGATTTATTGTAAATAACATTTAAATTAGTTTAGGCTAAGTTCCAAGTAGTTTGTAAGTGGACGACATGTATGTATAAAAAATGTTATAAATTATGCAGTAACAGGAATAAATTAAATTGTTTGTAGTAGTATGTATGTATATTAGAAATATTGGTGAACAATAATTTGTATACTTTTGAAAATAAAATAAAATATAGCGATTGATCATTTGTGTTTATTTCAATAATTTGTTTCTGTTTTTATTCACCCATATTCCAGAAACCGATCACCTCGGCATAAGTTTGAAATCGGTAAGGATCCCAGTAAATATTGGGCAGGGTTAATAATTCGAAAATGATTGAAAAACAATTTTTTTTTCGATTCTCACTTTCGATAAAGAATGTGGAAAAGGTTACTGTTCGATTCGAGAACTAGGCCAACTCCAGCACAAGGAAACCTTCATTATATGTATCAATTTTGAGCAACTTCGCGATGACGACCTAGAGACTTGAAACTTCACAGTTGAGTCAGAACCCGTTGACAATGCAATACAAAAGATGAATTAATTCGATAGGCGGCGTAGGAAAAACCAATATTTATAGTCCGATTTGGTTGATATTTAGCGCGTAAATTAACTACATTAAAAGGAATAATTCCACGAAAAATTCCATCGAGTCGATATATTTGGTAAACCAGTATTTATGGTCCGATTTCGTTCATATTTAGAAAGCTTCCTTTAAAAATAATCGTTTTTACTATTAACTTTAATTAACAAAGGTATATTAATTTTGTTCACATAACGGTTCTTTGTAACAGCCAAAACGAATCGAGATAGATATAGACAAATGTATACATAAATACTCAGAATGAATAGAAAAGTCGATTAAGCCATGTCTGTCTGTCCGTCCGTCCGTCCGTGTACACGACAACTCAAGCAAAAATTGAGATATCTCAACGAAATTTGGTATGCAGGTTTCCATTAATCCAAGGTAGGTTGGTATTGAAAATGGGCGAAATCGGACTGTAACCACGCCCACTTCCCATATAACGGTAATTTCCAGAAATACGAAAACTGCGATATTTTAGTAACTACTGAAGATAATTCACTCAAAATTGATATTTACAATAATTTTTCAGACGAAAAATAAGAATATTATAAATTTTTGGAAATTGGGCGTAGCCACGCCCACTTATAGTTACATGTGTATATCTTGATAACCGCTGCACCAATTTCTTCCAAACTTGGCACAGTTGTTGGCCTTGGTACAGCATACTAAATGGCCGAAAATTTAAAAAATCGGTAATTTAGAGAAATACAAAATCTTCGATAAATCAGTAAACATTAAAGCTAATTTATTCAAAATTGATGCTTGCAACAATTCTTTACCAAGAAATACGTTTATGGTAAACCCACTTATGATCACATATATGTATATCGGTAACCGTTCTACCAATCGGACTGAAATTACGGCCGCTTTTCATATAACGGTTAATTTCAGGAATGCGTGAAACTGCAATATTTCGAAATTTAAGGACCCAAATTTACTCAAAGTTGATACACTCCCAGATCCAGATTGGGGTTGCCGGCGAACGGTGACCAAGAACTGCCACCTCCTAATCCAGGGTGTGATGCGACACCGTGCCTATTGGACGGTTTGCAGCCAGGAGGGAATAAACATGCTGTTTTATAACGGCGCCTCTTCGACACCGGGCCGCATCAAGGAGTAACGGTGGCCTTACCGCGACATGGCTAAAAATGTCGATTGATTTTTTAGAATTTTTAAAAGT